CTTTATAGCCTTGAGAGGACCTCAGAGCTGGCCAGGACGGGCGGGAGGGAAGCTTGGCTTCCTCCATCACCAGGGGCAACCCCAGCCTCCTGCTTGCTCCAGCTCTGTGGCTGCCGGCCGCCATTTTGGTTGGGTTCATTTGCATATGGTTGCTCTGATTGGCTGGTGGGTGTGGCTTAAGGCATAGTGAAGGTAGGTCAATTTGCATGTTTGTCTTTTATTAGTGTAGACTAGAGGCCCGGTGCACAAAAATTTGTGCACTGGGGGGGGGGGGCGAGGAAGGTCCCCCAGCCCGGGCTGTGCCCTCTCGCAGTCTGGGACCCCTCAGGAGATAATGACCTGCTGGCTTAAGCCTGCTCCCGGGTGGCACGCCCAATCCCTAGGTGCAGCCCCTGGTCAGGCTCAGAGCAGGGCCCATTAGGGAGTTGGGGCGCCGCCCCGTCATGCACAGAGCAGGGCGGATCGGGAGGTTGCGATGCCACCCTCAGTCACGCTCAGGGTAGGGCCGATTGGGGGTTTGGGGCACCGCCCCCTGTCACACTCAGTCAGTGCTCGCCTGCTGGCCAGATGTGCAGGGGACTGGAGACACCTTGGACCAGGACTCGAAAGAGTGCTCTATGGTTCTGACCCAGTGGCTGACGTGAGTGCATGTGTGTCTGTAAAGATGGACCCGTTTGCCCACCTTTGCTTTCCTGTCCTGAGGCCACAGGTTAAATACTGACCAAAGAACATAAAGTAGGTCACCTTTTGGTTCAGACAGCTCCCCTCGGGGCCCCCACCTGCTTCTCGCTGCTCCTGAGGCCGTGGCCGTGAGGTCCCTGAGTGGGTGTGCTGCCCGCGCCCCATGGGGTCTGAGTAGCTAGTTTGCAGTAGAGAAGATGGGGGATTAGGACCCGCTGGTGTCTTTTTATGCCGTTTATGCTTTTTAGTTTTATTGATTTCAAACGGGCCGGATCCGGCCCGCGGGCCGTAGTTTGCCCACGGCTGGACTATAATGAAATAATTCAAGGACTGAAAACCGGCCGCCTGACGTTCGTACAGGAGCTGTCAGGGCGATGAGTGGGGTCGCAGTGCCTGGGCTCCAGGGGCTGTGGTCGCTGTGGGAGGGGCACGTGTGGCAGCTTTGTGGGTGATAGGCCTTGAAAGATGGGTACGGTTTGGGTGCCCCCCCAGGGGAGGAGAGGGTGTCAGGCCGGGTTCTGTGCACGTGTTCTGGGCCTGGTGATAGGATTTGTGGGCTGAAATCCTAGTGATTCCTTTGGAGATCGTCGGCCAGGCTGTTTGTGGTGTCCACGCTGGTGAGCGAGTGCCGGGAAGGTCTCCCGGGGGGCCTGGTGCGGAGCGAGCCGGACAGGAGCCTCCTGGCAGGTCGGAGTGGGGGGCTGTCAGGTGGAATACCTGGGGCTGCTCGTGTCTGTTACGAATACATTCTCTGTGTGGACATGGGCTTTCCTGTGCCTTGGAAAGGAGTGTGTAGCCCAGTGGTTTGCAGAGTGGCTGTGTCACTTTTTATTCCACCAGCAGTGTGGGCGCGGCCGCTGCCCTGCCTCCTCGCAGCACGTGGCAGCGTCAGCCTTACTTCAGCCACGAGGACGGCCGCGCTAGCTGGCGGTGGTGTGCATTTCCCCGGGGACTCATCACGATGGGCCTTTTTTATATGCTTATTGGTAGTTGAATCTTTTTTCTGTGAAGTGGTCTTTTCAGACCATTGGCCAATTTAAACACTCTATTAAGCTTTTGGGGTATGTGGTTCTAAGAGTCATGCAGGGAGTCCTGGGCACCCGCCTGCGGTTCCCAGCAGTCGCTTCTCGCGAAACCCTGAGGCGGTGCTGCAGCCGGGCACCGACCTGTCGTTTGACACAGTCTTCCAGCCCACGAGGCCTCGTCTGGTGCCCACACCTGCCCCCCCCCCCACGTCGGTGTCTCTGGCGCTTCTTTTCCCAGGTCCCCGAGGTGGGAGCTGAGGTGCCGGTGTGGAGACCTCGCTTGTTCTAGCCTGAGCATGGGGTGCTGCGTCTCCCGCCTGGTGCTGCCTTCGCTGCCTTTCCCATATGTTGTCTTTTCATCCCGTTGGTTTATTTTCCTTTATTTTCTTTGATGCTTCCTCGTGGACCTGTGAGTTATTTAGAAGTGTGATCGCCACGGGTGAGATTTCCCTGTTCCGTGTTTCTTTCCTTTTAGTCCGACTCCATGATGGTAAGATAACTGGTTCCTGTCTCCCGGCCCAGGCGAGGTCTGTTTGGGCGACGGTTCCCTGGGCAGTTGAAGAGCTGTGTGTCCTGGCGCTGGGCGGGCGGAGTGTTCTGCGCGTGCCGGGCCGGTCTGTGGCTGGTTGTGGTGGCCTGTCTGTTGCTGATGGGTGTTGAAGCTCTAACTGGACCTGGAGACCTGTCTGCTTCGCTCTTCAGCTCTGTCCGTTTTTCCTCCTGTTCTGAGGATTTGTGGTGGGGTGCGTACACCTTTAGGGTCGATTGTAGTCTTCCTGGGGGTGAGCCTTCACCACCCGAACGTGGGGTCCCCGGTGGTCCCCAGGCGGCTGGTGTACTGGAGTGGGGGGCGGGATAAGTGCTGTGGGTTCACACTCGGTTTCTGCCTCTTGTGACCTTGGACACACTGCTTGCTTGCTCTGTGCCTCAGTTTCCTTGTTTGTAATGTAGAGACAGACGTCTTGATTTAGTAGAATTGTGACACTTAAGTAACAGGCTCACGTGGAGCTTAAGGCCACTGGGTCCGAGATGGAGGTGGGGCCACTGTGCTGCTTCGTCGCCATAGCCGCAGGCCCGGTGCCCCCTCTGGAGACCATGCCGGCGGCCTCACTGCCGCCTCCCCTTTGCCATCAGAGGGGCATGTATGTGGCTCCTCCCAGGGCTGCCGCTGGGTGCGCCCTGCCCGTTTTCCCCCCCAGCGTGCGCAGTGCTGGTCTGGTTTCCCTGTCGCTCACTCTCCCCTCGGGGCCCCCACCTGCTTCTCGCTGCTCCTGAGGCCGTGGCCGTGAGGTCCCTGAGTGGGTGTGCTGCCCGCGCCCCATGGGTCTGAGTAGCTGGTTTGCAGTAGAGAAGATGGGGGATTGGGACCCGCTGGCGTCTTTTTATGCCCTTGGTCGCCGTGGTTGTTAATGGCCCTCTGTCCTCCGGGGCGTTCTGAAGGTGCGAGTCACGCTCTGCTCATCTTTCCCTTGGCTCAGATAACATCCCCGAGGACCTCAGGGACCCCTTTTACATCGACCAGTACGAGCAGGAGCACATCAAGCCGCCTGTCATCAAGCTCCTGCTGGCGGGCGAGCTGTACTGCCGCGTCTGCAGCCTCATCCTGAAGGGGGACCAGGCGGCCGCCCTGCAGGGGCACCAGTCCGTCATCCAGGCCCTGTCCCGGAAGGGCATCTACGTGATGGAGAGCGACGACACCCCCGTGACGGACCCCGACCTCAGCCACGCCCCCATCAAGATGGTGAGTGCCTGCGCACCGCCCGCACTCCCCCCCCCCACCCCCCCAGGGTGTCCTGTGCATGTTTGGGGCGAGTGACGTCACGGCTTCCAGTGCCACGGGCACTCGCGTGGTGCCCGACCTGTCCTGTCGCCAGCTGTCCCTCTGCAGCTGAGCTGCACGACGAGGCACGACGAAACCTCAGGTGCACACGGTGCACACGCGTGTGTGGCAGCTGGCCTGGGTCTGAGTGCGCGGCAGGCGCCTGTCACGCGTGGCTGAGTGTGGTTCTGGCCCCGGGGGAGAGCAGCTCCTCTTGGCTGGCTGGCTCCGGGTGACGCCTCCCGAGGAGGCAGGCGTGGGGAGGTGTCCGTGTTGCGCTCGTGCTGTCTGAGTGTTTCATGTGTGCGTTGTGATTGTCCTCTAAGCAGCCCTCCCGTCTTCCTCTGAAAGCCCAACCGTCCTGGGCTGGGCCGTGTGGTGCCTCCTCGCTGCTGTGTGGAGCGTTGGCTGCATTTTAGGTTTTGTGGCTTCACTCTTGGTCTTGGTGGCTGATGTGTGTGGGTCAGGGTGTCCCTCAGGTTTGGGAAGGAACAGCTCAAAGGCGGTACGTGGTTTCAGTGCCAGAGCTGCTGACAGTGCCCAGGGCTGTCAGTGGTCGTGCAGCCTCGGACAGGGCTCTCCGCCCTCTGTCCCTTTACCACAGCCCTGAAGTAAGGACCCCCAGCCCCCCAGGATTGTCAGGGAGATGAGGCAGGAGGACGAAGCCCCCACACTGCAGGGCACCCAGCTGGCCGACCCTGAGGAGGGGTAGCGAGCAGATGAGGCCTCGCTGCCTCCGCACGGGGAGGAGAGGAAGGAGTCTGAGTGGGGTCTGTGGGGCCTGTGGGACAGGCAGGTGGCAGCTCTGACTGCCCTGCTTGCAGAGCGCCCACATGGCGATGGTGGACGCCCTCATGATGGCCTACACCGTGGAGATGATCAGCATCGAGAAGGTGGTGGCCAGCGTCAAGCGCTTCTCCACATTCAGTGCCTCCAAAGAGCTTCCCTACGACCTGGAGGACGCCATGGTGTTCTGGGTCAACAAGGTGAGTGCACCTGGCGGCCGGTTCTCGTGGGGGAGGCTGAGGTCTCCGCCCACTAGGGGCCACCTGCACCCAGAACCGCCTGCCAGCGTCGGAGCAGACGACAGGGGTCCCTGAGGAGTGGGCACAGCCCGGGGGGGGCGGGGGCGCTGAGGGTGGGAAATCCAGGCCTGGTGGGGTCCACATTGCTGCCTCCTCCTGTTGTCTCCCCTGTGCGCTTAAGGAGGCGCTCCGTTTTAGATGGTGTTAGAAGAGAAAAATGTCTTCTTAAAGGCTGTTTTTCCTTTTATATTTAGAAGCTTGCAATGTAATCTTTTATGCAATGTGTATAAAGAATGGTTATTTTTGCCCTGGCCAGTTTGGCTCAGTGGATAGAGCGTTGTCCTATGGACTGAAGGGTCCCGGGTCCGATTCCAGTCAAGGACACATGCCTGGGTTGTGGGCTCAATCCCCAGGGGGCGCGTGCAGGAGGCAGCTGATTGATGATTCTCTCTCCTCATTGGTGTTTCTATCTCTCCCTCTCCCTTCTGCTCTGAAATCAATAAAGATATATTTTTTAAAAAAGAATGGTTATTTTTAGTAGCATGTGATTATAGGGATCCCTCACCAAAAGCCTTTTGGTTTGTTAAGTCTTATTTGCAAGAAGGTGTTCAGTTGGTGACACTTGGCTCCTAAAGACACAGAAGATGGAGCAGCTCCTGCTGGAGTTGTGAGCCAGGCATCCTTGCACCGCGCGTTGCTGGTTGGATTCCTGGGCGGGCACATGCCCGGGTGGTGGTCTGGATTCCCGGTGGGGGCACATGCCCGGGTGGTGGTCTGGATTCCCGGTGGGGGCGGGCAGGAGGCAGCCGATCCACGGTCTCCTGTTGATGTTTCTCTCCCTCTCCCTCTTTACTGTTTACAACAGCAAGGATGGACCTGCAGGGTATTATTCTCAGTGAAATCAGTCAAAGACAAGTACCCTGTGATCTCACTGATATGTGGAATCGGGGGGCGGGGGGGGGGGAGTGAATAAACAAAACAGAAACAGACCCAGAGACACAGAACAAGCTGGTGGTTGCCAAAGCGGAGAGGGTCAGGGGACGGATGAATAAAAATAGTGTGTATTTGGCTCGTTACCTTTCTTTCTGGGTAAATTGCTTGCTGCTTATCTTTGGCCATATTTCTTTGGGGAGGTTCTTTATTTCCAATTTGATCAGGTTTCTCATCCATCGAGGGTGTCATTCATGCGCCACATTTGGTAAGTGACCTCCCCAGCTGTGGGCTCTGCTTCCCGGTCCCTCGCTGGCAGGTCCGTGGCCTCACAGATCCGCAGCAGCACTGCCACCTCCCGTGGGGTTGTCGGCCTTAAAGAGACGCCCTCGCTTCTGGCCCCAGCTGTCTGGTGGACAGTGCCTTCTGCTTGCTGTTACCTCGACCCTCCCCTGGGCCCACCGTCCTCTGTGGTCACATAGACCCCCCGTCACATCTGACGTCCCGCGCAGACGCTCAGGTGTCGCCTCAGGTGTGCGCGCTCGCTCACGGGGCGGTTCCCGCACCCGCTGCCGTCCAGGCTCCTCGGGGTGGACTCTGCAGGAGGAGGTGGCCCACACTCTTGGTGAGGTGGCAGCCTTTCCTGCTGCTGCATCCCGTCTCCCCGGGCACTCCTTTTTGTTCATTTGATCTGCATTGATTTTTCTTTTGTCTTTTTCAAGTATGTTTTTGTTAATTTTTTAGGGAGAAAGGAAAGAAGGATAGAGAGAGAGAGAGAGACATCTGTCGGCTGCCTCCTGCACGCCCCCCACTGGGGATTGAGCCTGCAACCTGGGCATGTGCCCTGAGCGGGAATAGACTGTGACCTCCTGGTTCATGGGTCAATGTTCAACCACTGAGCCACACCAGCTGGGCTGTTTTTTTTCCTTTTATAAACCATTCTCCTACCTTCTTTTTAAAAATGTTATTATTTTATTGGGGTGACATTGGTCAGCACGAACATTAGGCTTCAGGTGTGGGTTTCCATGTTCTAGGGCCTGTGTGCCCACCACCCAAGGCCAGGTCAGCTCCTGCCGCCATGTTTCGGGGCCCCACCTTCTTGATGGGAATCGCCTGCGCTCACTCACTGGACCTGGTTTCATGGTGGAAGGCTCAGCTCTGTGCCTTTCATCCCAGGGCTCTGACCCGGCCCTGTAAGCATGGGCGAGTACTTCCCATGGTGTTGTTTATCATTGCAATTTTCATTTTATCTTTAACGTAATTCCAGGAGAGAGCACTTTACTCTACAGGTTGTATGAGCCGCCCACGGCGTGCACTGTGAACATGGCTCAGGCTATCTAGGGCGTCTTGTGCTGTCAGGGGCCTCTGTCGCGGGTGATGGAGGGCGGGAGGGAGCGGCAGCCCGCATGGCGCTTGGGGCATCTTGTTTTCCACCCGTCAGGTCACCTGGAGGCCTCGGTGTCGGCGGGTGTGAGAGAGGTGGTAATACCTGCTTCGGAGTCGGAGTGAGCAGTGGGGCTGGGTGCTGGGAGGAGATGTGGCGACCAGTGTCGGAGAGCAGTCACCTTTTAAAAATACATATATATATTTATTGATTTCAGAGAGGAAGGGAGGAGAGAGAGACAGAAACATCCATGATGAGAGAGAATCGTGGATCGGCTGCCTCCTGCATGCCCCCTACTGGGGATGGAGCCTGCAACCCAAGCATGTGCCCATGTCCAGAATCGAACCCGGGACCCTTCAGTCTGCAGGCCGACGCTCTGTCCACTGAGCCAAACCAGTTAGGGCAGCAGCCATCTTTTAAATGCATGTTCTTCTCCTCTAGGTGAATCTTAAAATGAGAGAGATAACAGAGAAAGAAGGGAAGCTCAGACAGCAGTTCCTGGAGAGCCCTGCTCATCAGAAGGTAACGGTAGTGGCACTTCCTCGCTGTAGAGGGTCGCCACGCGCACCACTGGTCACGCCTTCCTCACAGACAGATGACTCTCCTGCCTGCAGGCTGGCTCTGCGGCACCTCAGGGGCAGTGGGCACGCAGCCTGCACCCCCTCCCTGGCAGGGCATCCAGTGTGTCACCCGGGGGGTGAAGGGTCCGGGAGTCGGCTTCTACCAGTCAGCAAGTGAGGCGCATGTTGCCGTCGGCCAGGGGCACCTCCCAGACCTCAACACTGCCCACGAGGTCCTGGGGGGCTGGCGTGGCGCCCTAAAGCCCACGCGGGGTGGTGGCAGGGCCCTGTGGCACCTGAGGAAATGGGGCAGGTGGCGTCGGTGCGTCCCTGTCACTTCTGTCCTTTCTTCCCTGACATTGTTTTTCTGGTCAAGCACGTACATGACTGGAACCACGTTCCCTGGACGCATGCACGATGTGGCCCAGCCGTGGCTGCGGTCTGCCCGCACCCCTGGCTGTGGGGATGCGTGGGCACCGCATGCGTGACCGTGTTTGTTCCTCCCTCGGTGCACGGGCGTCTGTCCTGGTGCCCAGCCGCACCAAGTTCCCGGAGTGCTCGTTGCTCCCACAGCGACTAGTGTAGAGGTGCCCGTACCTTCCACTGTGGGTCACGGGCACTGATCCCTCGTGTCCACACTGCACCCACGTGTGTACGCCGTCTGTCCGTCCGCACGTGGGCCGGCCCGCTGACCCTCCTCTCCTGCCTTCTCCCTGCTTCCCGAGCAGTCTCCCTCCAAGTGGTACTGGAAGCTGGTGCCCGTAAGTGGACTCCGTGCCCCGCTGCCATCAGACGCCATCCTGTGCTGCCACCTGCTTCCATTCCCAGTCGCTCGCCCACCTGTCTGTGTCTGGATGTCCTGGTGTAGTTGCACTTTGTGCCGTGTGGGTGCGGCCTGCGTCTGGCTGACAGACAGGCTTGGTTCCCACGGTGGGCACTGGGAGTTCTGGGTCGCATTTCACGGGCAGCGTGCAGTCGGATAGGGTTTGCGTCTCGGCTCATGGGCGCTACTCTACGTGATGAACGTGAATGTAAAGCAGGGTCTTCTCTTCTGAGGGACGAATGCACTCCAGGCCACTCTTGTTGTTGTTGCTAATCCTCACCTGGGCATATTTTTTCATTGTGTTTTTGTTCGTTTGGTGTTTGGTTTTGGGGTTTGTTTTTTTTTGAGTAGAAGCGAGGGAGGTAGGAGGAAAAAGAGGGAGAAATACTGATGTGAGAGACACATGAATTGGTTGCCTCCTGCAGGCATCCTGACAGGGCTGGGGATCCAACCTGCAACCTGGGTACATGCCCTTGACCAGGAATCAAACCTGGGACCCTTCAGTCCGCAGGCTGATTGCCAATCACAGCCACACCGGTCAGGGCCCAGGCGGCTCTTTGTTTTGTCCTTTCTGATGTGACCGGCCCTGATGGTGACCTGCCGTGTCTTAGTGCCTGCGGCACGGCCGTCTGTGGTAAAGGCGACACCGCTGCCGCCTGCGCGGTGGGGGAGGCCACCCTCCTTCCTGGCAGGGGCTCTGGGTCCCCAGTGAGAAGTGGGTCCCCGAGAGGAAAGCGAAGGTGCGGCTTGGCCAGCTCCGTGGTGCCGCCCTGCAGGCACAGAGGGCGGCACCCAGATCACTTGTCAGGCCTTGGTTTCATGTCTGGGCAACTTGGCCTCCGAACTCTGCCACCAGGCAGTGCCCTGGGACAGGCTGGCGGATGGGGTCCACGTGAGCAGTGGTCTGGCCTACTTTGTGGCTGATGATTTTGCTCTGAGATATGTTAATAACAAGGAGGAAAGCATTTTATGGATATTTTCATATCTTTTAATTTTTTGAACGCTGAAAGCCGAGGGAAATGTTACAAGTTACGAGGTTTAGGAAGGACTAGTGGGAACCTGGCTGTCCCCCAAGAAGGCAGGTGCAGAGCAGAGCTGTGTAGGCACTGACCAGGGCGGCCCGCAGCCGGCCCTTAGTTCCTTGTGGTGGTTGACCCCTCGCTGCCGGACCACAGTGCCCAGCCAGTGGGCGGCGAGGATTGCGGGGAAAGGTCTGGCAGGGCGGCAGGTTCTGAGGTTTCACCTTGTCACCCACGGCCTAGAGGTTAACAAACTGACCGGCAGGTGGTCAGTTACACAGGGCTTTCCCTGGTTCTCAGTTCACTCCATCCATCTTCAGCCGAGAAATCATGTGCTTCACTGCATGCTGTGGTTGTCACCGTGTGTGCTGTGTGTCCGTGTGGGAGCTGGCCTGGCGCATGCCGCGTCTGCATGCTGGGGCCGGGACCGCTGCCAACCTCTGCCGCGGGCGAGAAACAAGTTAGGTCTGCAGCGGAGCAGCCCTAGCGACGCGAGGGAGCCTGCTCCTCATCTCAGCAGGATGTTGCCAGTGCCTGTGACGCAGAGTCGGCACCCATGGCTCCGCCGTGTGCGGCCTGGAGGCACGTGGTGAGGCCCTTTCCTCTGGGCTGGCCTCTCTCCGTAACAGCCCCGGCGCCAGGGCAGCTGCCGGCTTCCTCCTGCGCCGCCCTGGCCCCCACAGTCTCCTCCCCCAGGTGAAGTGGTTTGTGAATGTTCATGCAGAAAACGGGGCAGCAGGACGTGGGGGACACTGCGTCCCCTCCCAGGTGGCCTGGCCTCACTCCTCCCCTGCCCTGGGGATGGGGCTCGGGGCAGCCCAACCTGGCACACGCCTCCCCTGAAGGGGGTGCAGAGTCCCTGAGAAGCACTGGTTCTGCGTGGGCCCCGCCCACAAGCTCTCGGTCTCCTGCTCCCGGCACCACTGACCTCGTGCACGAAATTGTCTGCCCTGCTCTCGGGAATTTCTCCACCACACACTGAAGCCATTTGCATGTTTTTAACGGCCGGGCTGACACGGTGAACGCTGCCAGCACTGAGCACAGTGGCTGCCTCGGGGCTTCGAGTGACAGGACGTTCACACTTAACTTGTTTCTCCTCCGTGTGCAGCAGCGGCTCTGTAGACGTGCCCCGCCCCTCTGCCGGCACCTCAGAGCGAGACGCCGCTGCCTTAGCGGCTGATGACTGTCAGCCAGGGTTGCCATGAGCCCAGTTCCCAGATCTTGACGTGTGGGTTCTGGGCAAAGTATGTAATCCCGACATTTTGAGCTTTCCCCCCCCAACTGCCTTGTTCCAAGCATTGTCCAGCGCACGGCGCTCTCGCCGCAGCCTGCCTGGGACGTGGGTGGGAGTGGGGCACCTCATGTGTAGAGTCTGCCTTTTGTCGACCGCAGGTGCGCTACCGCCGAGAGCACCTGTCGGCGAGGCAGCCGCCCTACTTCCCGCTGCTGGAGGACCTGATGCGAGATGGCAGCGACGGGGCCGCGCTGCTGGCCGTGGTCCACTACTACTGCCCCAAGCACATGAAGCTGGACGGTGAGTGCAGGACGCCCGTCACACCCACGTCCTCGGTGCCCCTGGGCAGGGGCTGCGTGGAGACGGCTGGGGATGAAGTGCGCAGCGTGGGTGGCACCCGCTCTGGGCACGTGGTGCAGGCGCTGGGATGGGTCTCACTCTGAGGTCTTTGTTCTTGCTCTGTAATTAGTGCTCATTTGGGGGAGAGGCTTTGAGGACGTCAGCACCCGCTTTCTCAGCTGTCCTCCATGGTGGTCTCTCCCACGTGCTGCCAGCACCTCCAGACGCGGTGGTCATGTCCCTCGCCTCCATTGCTCTGCTGCTCGGGCTGCCCCAGGTTCAGGCGGGTGGGTTTTGAAGAAGAGGAGGGTGGGCCAAGCTTTGTTTAGCTTTACTCAGCTAAGCCTGTGTGATTTGGGCTCAGGAGTAGTCATGTGACTGTGGGAAGGCCCACATCTCACAGGTGAGGGGACTGGCCTGTGCAGAATGTGGGCCCAGAGGTGCCTGTGTGGGGAGTGCAGTGAGGCCTCCCCAGGAGATGGAGCCCCCCACTGTGTAGGAAAGACCTGACCCTGAAAAGCCAAACTTGAGAACTTTGAAAGAAAATATAGGACAACAGATTTATGACATTGTTGTTGGGATGGATTACTTACTTAAATTACAGAAAAGCACAAATAATAGAAAAGATTCTTGTATTTAACACTTGGAGTGCGGGTGAATTTCCCGCCAAAATATAAGATGGCTCTGTCTTTTGGTTTTGTTCCATCCACCAAAAGGGTGGATTACAAACAAATATTTGGTAATACGCAGTTACAATCGGCCCGAGTTTACACATTTCCCGCACTCCACCGCAAATCTATATGAACCGAATTAAAGACGGCTCCCGCGGAGTACGCGCAATTCACGCGAGCCGACTTAACTCGTTTCCCGCACTCCAAGTTTAAATTAACCATATTAAAATTCAGTGACCCGGACATTATAAACAAACTTGTGATAAACCGTATCCATGAGAAAGTACAGTGGGGCCTTGACTTACGAGTGTCCCGACCAACGAGTTTTTGAGTTTTTCGAGATACGAGCTGTCTCGGCTGATTTTTTGCTTTGAGTTGCGAGCTAAAATTCGGGTTACAAGCCAGCTTTAGATACCCCACCGCTAGTTGGCGCAGCGAACGTCACAGTGAACGCCACAACATCAGCCCAGCATCACGTGTCTCACTCCTTCACTTTTGATTTGACATACGAGTAATTTGAGTTACGAGCTCCGTCACGGAACGAATTAAACTCATAAGTCAAGGCCCCACTGTAGTTGTCAAAGGATCATCACACAGCAATATAAAAGGCAAGCGACTGGAACAACCAGAATGACCAGTCGCTATGACACGCACTGTGGCCGGCCAACCAGCCCGATAGGAGGCGGGGCCAGCTGGCCAACCTGCCGCAGCCCCTCCCCCAGGCCGGCCCAGCCCTGATCGGCCCTGATCGGGGTAGGCTGGCCGGACCCCACCCATGCACAAATTCATGCACTGGGCCTCTAGTCCTATATAATAATCCTCCTGTATAATAAAGGGGTAATAGGCAAATAGACTGAACGGCAGAACAACTGAACAACCAATCAAAGCGTAATATGCTAAGGCTGCTCAACCACTCGCTATGACGTGCACTGACCACCAGGGGGCAGACAGTCGACCAATCGCTATGACATGCACTGACCACCGGGGGCAGATGCTCCGACTGGTAGGTTAGCTTGCTGCTGGGGTCCAGCCGATCAGGACTGAGTGAGATGGGCCAGACACACCCTGGAGCCCTCCCGCGGTCCCTCCCCAGCCCCATTGTGCACCAGTGGGGTCCCTCACCCTGGCCTGTGCCCTCTCACAATCCCGGACTCCTTGTGGGATGTCGGAGAGCCGGTTTCAGCCTGATCCCGCAGACCATCCCCTTGGGAGGGTGCCAGACGCAGGGCTCTCCCAATCGGGACTCATTGGGCCCGAGCCCGCGGCAGGCACAGTGGGGCCGGGATGAGCCGGAGCGGCAGGTAGGAGCTGCAGGCAGCGTTGGACTGCGGGTGGCAGACGCTCAACACAGGAGCTGCCATGACGCGCACTGGCCATTTAAAAATAAACGGCTCCAGGGACATGGCACCGACAATCCAACACTTCTCTTCCCCCAGTGGCACCCCACCAAATCACAGCTGACGCTGCCAAGACCTCATGGCGCAAAATGCGGCCTACAGCCCAGCCCAGCCTTAAACCGTCTTTGTGGGTGCTGGGTAGTGACATCACATAGCAACGCCCTGCTTCCTCTCCCTAGCGACTAGCCTCCTTGCAGTTTCTTCAGCCCAAGAACACGACTTGCTTTATAGCCAGGTGCAAACATTTCACACTGTAACCAAATGTCTTTGAAGCTTTCCCCGTGCCTCATCTCCTTTGATGCTCACAGACGTCCTGGAGAAGGTAGATAGGAGACTCAAAAAGGACATTTAGAAAGCTTAGAAACTTGACCCGACTGAAAAGAAATGGTGGACCTTGAAAATGACTTCAGGTTTTCTCACTGCGCAGAAGATAGACACGGCTGCAGTTAAATAGTTTACCCTTTGTTCTCCCTGTGTGATCTACAATAATAATCTGCTTCGTGTTGATATTTACTGCTCTGTTGCTGACAATTACCTGGAAGAGAAGTTGGGGTGCTTCCCTGGGCTGGAAAAAGTTTAGCTACATCAGAAAGCGGGTCTAATTAAGCAAGTTTATTCTATATACATAAAAGGCTAAGTTGACTCACATGCGAGATACATATAAAGCTCTCATTGTCAATCGTGAATTTGGTTGACACTTCTATTGCAGAGAAAGGGTGGATAGCGATATTAAAATATTTCTTCTAATTAATTTCCTTTCAATGTGCATGAATCTGTGCACTGGGACACTAGTGACACATAAAGAACTCCTACAGATCAATAAGAAAAAGGCAGACAGAGCTGCAGGGAGAGCAGGCTTTTCACGGGGAGGAAGCCAACACGCATCTCACACCCCCCGGGTGGAGGTGGGGCGGGTGGCTGGGCGACCTCGGCGTGCAGGTGCAGAGAGCACAGCGATTGGTTTTCATGGCATTTTCTGTGACAGTGAGAACTGTGCAATACGCTAGCTGTTCAAGCGAAGGCCTGAGTCCATCCCATCGACCGGATCTGGGGGGAAACACAGTACTGAGTTGAGGGAACAGACAGGCTGCACAGTGCAGGCACATGCCACCAGGAGTGTCAGTGTAAGAGAGCAGTCAGCAGCCTGCTGTTACGGACACAGCGAATGGGAGGGGCCACGCAACTTGGGGGCGGCGAGGGCGGCTGCCTGGGGAGCTGGGCTTTGACAGCGTCGACGGTTTTACTGCTGACAGAGCAGGATCTGAATCAGATGCGGTTTGACGGTGTGTTTGCTCCACCCGGTACAGGGCACCTGGGGGGCCGATCTAAAACATTTGTCATATTTCATGATCAGAATTTTTTAAAAAGGAACATCTCTTAGCACTAGACATGTGCACTGTTACTCAGCTTGTAACTGGCTCCTCTGGGAGCGCCCAGTGCAAGGTGTCGCCAGGAACAGGAGCCCCGGAGTCTGGGCGCTCTCATCTCACCTGCGCACCTTCCGGTTCCTGCGTTTACTTCCTCGGGTCCCTCTGCCACCTGCCTCCCCCCCTCCCTCCCTATTTATGGTCAGAGTTCACGTAAATTGTCGCTGCAGCGGCTTCTGACTTAGTCTTGAGCTGTTCTAGCTGTCCTAGTGGTTCCTGCCTGAGGGCCCCCCAAAGAGCACTCCCACCCCGGGGGTCTGAGGGAGGGTGCTGGCAGCCTGTCCCAGTGCTGTGACCAGCTCCCCCCGTGCCATTCGTGGGCACGCCTGGCATTTCTCAGTTTACGCCCCTCCCCCACACATAGGTAATCACAAGGGGTGCCCGATGGTTAAACACGCACCAGCTTTCTGTGCGTCCTTTCATAAACTGAAGGGTGTGGTTCCTGTCCACCCTGGAAGCCCGGGCTTAAGATTTCCAGTGGTTTCTGTGGCTCTTTTTAGAGATGGACAGTTTGGTTCCGATCCTGAGATTCCTCAGGCCTTCCTGCCGAGTGGTTCATGTCTGTGGTCAGTCACTGTGACCTAAACACCACGCTGCCTCCCGACGCTGTGGTCCTAGCGACGTCCTTTCTGTTTCTTTGTTAGACGTGTGCTTGAAGGAGGTCATGTCGATGGCTGACAGTCTGTATAACATCCGGCTTCTGAGGGAATTCTCGAACGAATACCTGAACAGATGCTTTTACCTCACCTTGGAAGACATGCTGTACGCTCCCCTGGTGCTGAAGGTAACCATGACTACGGAGCACACGGCTAACGCCCCGCGTGCACAGCTGCTCATCGCGCCCTGGGTTCTGTGTTTTTCTCGCAGCCGAACGTGATGGTCTTCATTGCCGAGCTCTTCTGGTGGTTTGAGAACGTCAGGCCCGACTTTGTTCAGCCCCGGGACGTCCAGGAGCTGAAGGACGGTGAGTGGGACCCGGCAGCTGGCGGCTGCTTCCCGTGAGCTTCCTCCTCGGAGGCTCCCGATCGCTCCTGTGCAGCGCCGGTGCCGGTGTGAACGGCTGCATCTGGGGGAGCGCCCAGCCTGTCTGAGGGGCCCCGGGGCCTGCTGAGCGTCTGGGAGGCGGGCCGCTGGGCTGAGTGTGCTGGCTGTTCCCCCCTGCAGGGTCTCACGCTTGCCGCCAACAAGGCGGGACGCACCCATGTTCCCCGAGTAAGGGCCTGCGGCCTGGAGACGACTTCCAGGTGATGCGGGCGAGGGCGTTCCTTCCTGCGGTTTCCCTAAGACTGTCAGGAGATTGGCCCCGGGGAACGTGGGTGAAGCAGCCACAATAAATAAGGCCTTTTTTTCACGGAAAGATGATAAAAAATAAGAAAAAGAAATCGCCTGCCCTCACAGCAGATACTTGCACGCCGACAGCAGGTAGCCGGCCCCTGGCTGTACAGGAAGCTCACTGCAGCGTGAGCAAAGGAACCCATAGACTCGGCCCGACTGGGCCCTCCATGACCGTGGACTCCACGTGCCCGTTGCTCACGGAAGGCGCTCACCTCCTCAGTGGGCCCAGCAAGCCCGCTGAGGCCGCGCCAGACCCGAGGAAGGACCCTGTCCCAGCTCAGGCCTCAGCACTGAACTCACAACCAGTTTTTTTGGAGAAGCTTGGTTTCGAGTAAAAGCGATGTTATTTTTGGTTTATAGAAGCGGCAGGGTTTTTTAGATGCTTCTTGCTGACTTAAGAAACTGAATCATATGGACGTTTCTGTAAAATTTCTATTTCTACAGCAAAAACAGTGTCACACCAGAAAAGCAGCCGGCCGCCCGTCCCTATCTCCAACGCCACCAAGCGCAGCTTCCTGGGCGGCCCCGCAGCAGCGAGCCCGGCCGAGCCGCCAGCCCCAGCTCAGCCACCGGCCGAGGGCTGCCCCAGGCAGCACCTGCACCCCGAGGAGCCTGACCCCCTGTGAGTTGTCTGTCGCTTTCGGAATTGAGTCACGGTGCTCTGTCCCTTTTCTTGTGACACTTCCTCCCAGAGGCAGGAGGGAGGCGGGATGCACTCTTGAATTTTGCTGTTAGAATTGGAAACTCATGTTTTTATCACAGACGGTGACCAGAAGCCAGTCTGTCCCCAGCTGCAGTTTTGGGTTACTTATTCCAAATTTGAAGTTCTTGGTACTCTTTTGGTTTATTTCTTTTTTAATAATTAATTTTTCTCAAAGAATCAGTGAGATTCTTACGTGTGGTGTGAATTGGCGATGGTCTTGGTGTTTCTTTTGTATTTGCTTTTGACCGTGAAGGTGGCTAACCCACCGATTCTCTCCTGACAGGGGGAGAGGGGCCTCTGCCTTCAGCCCGTCGCATCCCTTACTGCCCCTGCGGCAGCGGCAGCAGAGGGCGGCTCCGGGGGAGGACCCGCCGGGTAAGAGCGGCCTTTCCTCCTCTCCTCACAGTTGCTGGGACAGCAGTTCTTGGGGCGCAGCAGGCAGGGAGCTAGTGAGGACTGTGCAGGGAGAGCTCAGTGGGACCCGTGTGCCATGGAGTCTGTTGCCCTCAGAGTGGAAACACCATTGACCCGGTAAACGGTGTGAGGTGCGCAGTCGCTGTGCGTGCTGGGCGAGAACCGAGTCACTCACGGTGCCTTAGGGGGCGGGCCATGTTGTGTCCTGACGCGGAGGGGTCCCTGCTGAGTTCACGTTCCCCACCGTGGACGCTGTTGGAAGCGGCCTGTGTGGTGGTCTGCTCTCGGGCAGCTGTGGGTGCGTGGGAAACGGTGACTGTGCTGACGAGTCTCCAAGGACATAAGCTGGGCTTCCTCCTGCTGAGCACATCCCTGCCTCTTCCGCCTGCAGATGAGCGACACCGGTCCAGCTCCTTGACCCGCGTGGATGGGCAGCCACGGGGAGCAGCGGTGGCGTGGCCAGAAAAGAAACACAGGTGAACCGTGTAAACTGTTCCTTAGACCAGTGGTCGGCAAGCTCGTCAGTCAGCAGAGCCAAATACCAACAGCACAACGACTGAAATTTCTTCTGAGAGCCAAATTTTTTAAACTGAAACTATATAGGGAGGTGCATTGTTATTAACTTAATTAGGGTACTCCTAAGGCTTAGGAAGAGCCACACACAAGGGGCCAAAGAGCCGCATGTGGCTCGCGAGCCGCAGTTTGCCGACCACTGCCCTAGACTAACAGCCGTCTCCTGCTGTGGCCTCGACCCCCAGACCCAGGAGCACTGAAGCCTGGAGGGCATTCGTGGGCAGCGGCGAGGGCACCTGGCGGGTGGTGAGTCCGAGCCAGGTGTGAGGACCCGCCGGGCAGAAGTGAGGCCGCACTGCTCTTCACACTGTAACTCCTGGGTTTTAGGAAATGTGGTCCTTTTTCATGTAATAGGTTTTTTATTGCAACTTTTAATCAGAAATGTTTGAGCTTTAACTTTTAATCAGAAATGTTTGAGCTTTAATTTCTAGTATGGTAAACATTGATTAGTAAGGATAAACATGACAAGTAAAAGCTCTTTGGGGTCCTCAGTCGTTTTTAAGGGTGTAAAGGGGTCCTGGGAGCGAAATGTTTGAGTCGCTCCCTGAAGCCAGCTCTGCCCTCTGCTCAGGGCAGGGGGTCTAGCTGCCCAGCCCGGGCTCCCCGCCCAGCTGCTGGCTCACTGCTGAGTCCCTCCGGCTGACAGTGGCTCCTCCCGCTGCAGGCCTGCGTCTCAGCCAGCGCCTTTCGCGCTGCACCACACTGCGAGCTGCGACGCGGACCCCGGCTCTGGCGACAGTGTCAGCTTGGCCCGCTCCATCAGCAAGGACAGCCTGGCCTCCAACATCCTCCCCCTGACCCCGCAGAACCAGCCACAAACCCCCGCCCTGAGGGCCAGCGGGAAAAGCCTCCTGAACAATGTGGACATCGAGGACGAGGACGAGGAGCTCATGGCCATCGTTAGGACCAACGGGGCTCCCCACGGCAGTGACCGGGGCCCCACGACCAGTGCCAGGTCTCCCCAGAGACCGGCGGGCCCCTCAGAGAGCAAGCTCGACAGTTTCTTCCTGGAGCCGCTGATGCCGGCCGTGCTGCGGCCCGCCAAGGAGAAGCAGGCGGTCAGCAAGGAGGACGAGTGCGGGGAAGGGCGGCTGAGGGGCTGCGCGGCCAGGAGGCCCAGCGAGGGCCCGCCTCTGGGGCGGAGGAAGGCGCCTGGCAGCTCCGGCACTCGGGACTTGAATAGGACTTTCACCCCGATTTCCTCCGTGGAGCTGTGTGCTGAGGTGGGGCTGCCGGCCGGGGAAGCCCGCGGGGAGCCTCTGGCCAGCGGCAGTTTCAATCCTTCATCTCAGGGACAGTCCCCCGACGGCTTCTTTCTTCACGTGGCCAGAGCCGACGAGGCCCCGGAGGGCGGGCTGCACGGTACCCGGGCAAGAAGCCCGCTCGCCCGCGACCCGGAACCGTGGACCGTCCTGAGGCAGGACTCGGACTCGGACGTCGCAGACCTGGAGGAGGCCGAGCACGACTTCCTCGGGGAGGACCTCCCCGTGCTGATGGGGCGGTACGCGGGCGAGGAGGAGTCGGCCAAGCTGCAGGAGGACATGCAGGTGAAGGAGCACGAGGACAAGGACGGCGCCAGCGGCCGCTCCAGCCCCTGCCTGAGCACCTTTTCCCAGTTCAGCGGCGGCTTCGTGGCAGCGGGGAGGGCAAGAATGCCCACTTTGCAGAGAGGAAAGCTCCAGCGGGCTCAACAGCTATGAGCCAAAGTCCAGTACGAGCAGCTTCCCAGAAGACCACGCCGGACGGCCTCGGAGAGCTGCCCCGGGCCCCCCCTGACCCACGTGGAAGCAAGAAGAGGGGAGCAGAGCCCCGGGCCGGGCAGGGCTGGGACCACGCCAGCCTCCTGGCCTCGGGAGCTGGGTGCAGCTGCACATGCAGCTGGAGGAGAAGCGGAGAGCCATCGAGGCCCAGAAGAAGAAGATGGAAGGCGCTGTCCGCCCGGCAGCGCCTGAAGCTGGGCAAGGCGGCCTTCCTGCACGTGGTCAAGAAGGGCAAGGCCGAGGCCGGTCCCCAGCCCCTGAAGCCGGAGCCCAACGAGGAGGACTTCAGCGGTGCTGTGTCCAAAACCGAGGAATTCCTGGCTCGGGAGCAGGGCCGGGGAGACGCGGGCGAGTGTCAGGACACGGACAGAGAGGGCCTGGCGCTCCTGCAGCAGCACAGGCAGGACCCGGCCGCGCTGCCTGAGCTGGAGAAGAGCAAGGCGCTGTCTGCGGCCCTCCTGGAGGTGGCCGGGGACGGGCTGGACACGGGCGAGGGGGACCTCTCCATCGAGAAGCTCAACGAGACCATCAGCACGCTGCAGCAGGCCATCCTGAGGATCTCCCAGCAGCAGGAGCAGCTGCTCCTGAAGTCCCCTGTGCCCCCCGCCCCTGGGGCCCGAAACAACGCCGCGGACCCGAAAGTCAGGGCATCCATCCACTTTGTGGAGCCCCTGTCTCCCACGGGAGTGACGGGGCACCGCAGGCCTCCCCGGCTGGGGCAGGGTCGGAATTCCCGGTCGGGGAGGCCCGCTGAGCTCAAGGTCGCGAGAGACAGGCAGCAGGGCTCCCGAAGTAAGACCCCGACGCCCAGCGTGGAGGCCCTCCCGCACCTGCGGCCCTTCCCGCCGCGGACGCCCCCCGACCCGGGCGACCCCGGGAGTGACCCTCCCGAGAAGGGCTTCTTCGACAGCTACCGGCTCCACGATGCCAGCAACCAGCGGGCACTCACCTTGCCCTCGCCCAGAGACGCCAACATCTTGTCGGAGCAGATGAGCCTCAAAGAAGCTCTGGGCCTGGGCCTGAGAGAGGCGGGGCTCGGGGCCCCCGCTGTCTCGGGAAAGGAGGGCGTCCCCGTGGACGGGCCCCCGCGGAGCAAGGCCAGCCTCATCGAGGTGGACCTGTCGGACCTGAAGGCCCCCGACGAGGACGGGCCGACGGGTCCCGAGAGCTCGGTGGACCTCAGCACGGACGGCGACCAGAAGTCGGGTGTCGGCTTCTTCTTCAAGGTGAGCAGCTGGCAGCCGTGTCCGGCGTGGCCAGGTGTCCCCACTGCACCTTAGCGGTGAGGGTGCCACCAAGGCCTTCACTCGGGGCGGGCCGCAGACACACAGACTGGGGGGCGAGCTCCTGTTGTGGACACGGGGGTGGACGGGGGAGTCGACAGCTCTGTGAGCGGCCTTTTCCATTTGTGTTTTGGCCTAAAGGTGGGCTGGTTCGTCAGGTAGAAGGAGGAAGCGCAAGTCTGGACTGTGTTGAGTCTCAGCCTGGGCTGCAGACTGCTGGGCAGATGTGGGGGCCCCTGGGTCGGTTGTGGGGGCCCCGGGGGCGGGAGTGGGCGCTCTGGGGATGGTGGCACCACTGCACTGTATCTGTCCTGCAGGATGAACAGAAGGCGGAGGATGAGCTCGCCAAGAAGCGGGCGGCCTTCCTTCTGAAGCAGCAGCGCAAGGCTGAGGAGGCCCGCATGCGGAAGCAGCAGCTGGAGGCGGAAGTTGAGCTCAAGAGGGACGAGGCCAGGTAGCCTGGCTGTGGGTGGGGGTGCGGCAGGATGGGCAGGGCCAGGCTCCTGTCTCGTTCTCCTGATCCTGCTCCGCCCTGGTCTCTGCCCCGACCCTGGGAGCTGAGCCTTTATCCCGCCGCCAGGTGACACGGCACGTGCCGCTGGGCCGTGTGGCGGTGGCCCTCGGTCCCCAGGCACCGCTGCGGGCGGCCGTGCCTCTAACCAGGACTGTCTGGGCGTTTTGTCAGGCGCAAAGCCGAGGAAGATCGGATACGGAAGGAGGAGGAGAAGGCGCGGCGAGAGCTCATCAAGCAGGAATACCTGCGCAGGAAACAGCAGCAGATCCTAGAGGAGCAGGGGCTGGGCAACCAGAAGGCGAAGCCGAGGAAGCCCCGGCCAAAGTCCGTCCACCGGGAGGAGCCGCGCGGCGACTCGGGAACCAAGTGCTCCTCCACCCGTAAGGGGGCTGGCGGGCGGGGCAACGCCCAGTCCCTACGCAGGGGGCACTACGCTGGGGGGGAGTGTGGTGACGTCCAGGCGGCTTCCCTGGGCCGGGAGATTGGGCTTCAGAGCTCAGGATGGCACTGGGCCGGGGGTGGGGGATGGGGGGGCGGGGCGGTGCTGGTCCCTTTGTTTCTGCTGCACAAACCTGGCGGGATGAACCCACGTCTTACGAGAGCATTTCTGTCTCTGGCAGCGGAGAACCTGAGCCGGGCCCAGTCGGGCTCCAGCCTGTCCTTGGCCTCCGCGGCGACGACCGAGCCCGAGAGCGTCCACTCGGGGGGCACACCCGCCCCGCGGTAAGGACAGGAGGGTGCTCCCCCGCCGCCACGCGTGAGCCAGCACCGTGGGCCCCACAGCCACGGTCAGGTGTCGGGCATTGGACGGTGTCCTGAGCCATGTCCGCCGTGGATGGTCCCCGCAGCCCCGTGCGCCGGGGTGTCTGTCCACAGCCCCCTCAGCCCTCTCTTTCTCGACCTGGACACGGTGTGCGGCCGGCGCTTGCTGAGCGCCCCTCAGTGCGGGTCCCATGCGTAGGTTCAGGTTGTGCCCTTGGGTGCGAACAGCGTGGGGAGGGTGTGTCCTCAGAGCTGTGGACACTTTGACGAGGGTTGTGTAAGGCGGCTGTTCACGGCCCTGAGAGTCCCCTGTGATTGACGAGTGATCGGGGAGGAGAAGCTGGGGCCTGCTGGTCGCAGGTCCCCCCACCCGTCCTTCCCTGCGCCCTCGGGCCAGGCCTGTCCCCCTCTGTCATGTCCGGTGGCCTCTTGTCGCCTGAGCTTTGTGGAGGATTCCTCTCAGACTGGGTTCTGGTTGGGTGTTCGTTCCGGGAATGGGTTACCTGAGCTGGATCCCAGCTCCAGCCGCCGGCTCCCTCTGCTCAGCACGAAGACACTGCTGTGTCGGTGCAGGCCCGTGCCTGCCCTCCTTCCAGGGTCTTGGCCTTTGTGTGGCGGCTGCAGGGCCAGCCTCCCCTGCTGCAGGCCGAGGCTGCCTCCGCCCGGGCTGCAGGAGGGACTGCCTCTGTGGATGGCTCCCTGCAGCCTGTCCACTCTGTCACGAGTGTGGGAGGGGCTGGTGTCTGCGTCTTCACCAGGTTCATGACTGTGGGGAACAGACCACTCGGTCGGTCATGGTGTCCCCTCCCACTGCCGGCGGTCAGGGTGGGGGAGGACGCACGTGACCGTCCCTTGTCCCCGTCCCTTTCCTCAGGGTTGAGTCCCTGGAAGCCTTGCCCATACTGAGCCGCAACCCCAGCAGGAGCACCGACCGGGACTGGGAGACGGCGTCCGCCGCGTCCTCCCTCGCCTCCGTGGCCGAGTACACAGGTGACGCCTCGCCCGCCCCTAGGTCATGGCACACCCGCTCGGGGTGGCGGGCGCGTCCCCATCTGAGAACTGCGCTGCCTGTCACTCCAGCGGCCTGGGGGGCGGGGACAGGCCTGTCAGCGTGCACAGCCCGGGCCCAGGCGTGTCCTGAGCCTTTGGAACCTTAGATTTTAAAGTTAATTCTTGGCTTTGTCTTGTTCTTACATCAAAGAAGCTGACATGAGGAAAGGGATAAATGATCAACAGTGGTCTTTTCCTTCATTTATTTAAAAGTTTTAACTCAGAATTCTTTCAAACCAACCACTTCCAAAATATCACGAGCATCTAACGGGCCTCGCGCTGCTCCGCTCACACCGTGATGAAGTTTACTATTTTGAATTGAACATCAAGTGATTGCTCCTCGGTTAGACCTAAAAGGTTAGGTATATCAAGAAAACACAATTTTAAAGAATTAGAAATACCAAAATCACTTGGATATTTGACATAAAAGAACCCAGTGCACATTTACTCCAATTCATAGATGAACAAACATTTCTTTAGGACTTTTTGTTCATTTATTTTTTAAATTGGATACCTTATTTTTTTTCTCCCTGGGCTTCCAGTGCTTGGGTAGTAAATGCTGCAGACACAAAACTGGGGAGATAGAGACTCTTATTTAGAAGAATTGCTCTTAACCTATATGTCAAGTTATGCAGCAGAAGAATGAGACATACAGGAGTGCTCTGAGAAGGGG